GGCTGAATCTCAATATACCCTTAAAATGAGCAACCTTGTACAAGTTTACATGTTTAATAGAGAACTTTTTATGATTTTAAAGAGAAATTTGTAATGCCTTTGTCAAGTTCTTATAAGTCAACATGAAAATTTTTACAATGATAAATTATGGGTAGTTACAATGTTAAAAATGTTTTTCTTTATTTTTATTTTTACTTTTAGAGAGAAAGGAGGGGAAAGAGAAAGAGAGGGAGCAAAATATCGATGTGTGATTGCCTCTTGTACACCCCTACTGGAGACCTGGCCTGCAACCCAGGCATGTGCCCTGACTGGGAATCAAACCAGCAACCCTTTGGTTTGTAACCTGGCACTCAATCCACTGAGCCACACCAGCCAGGGCTTTTAAAAATATTTTTCAATGATTGGGCTTCATTTAGAATCCTTTGATTCCCAAGTAAAGACTGTAAAATATGTATAAGTGTCCTTTATGCACCAAAATATTTTAATCTATAATTTATGTGGTCATTGGTAAAACATATGTATGTCCAAAGACATTTATTTCTATGGGCCATCATATATGGGCCATGGCTGAACATGGCCCATGGCTCCTGCTTCACAGACCACTATTTTAGGACAAATGTCTTTTTAGAGAAAAATAGCATTTATATTTTTCTTGTCTTTTTCTCAGCAATACAGCTGGCCCACCTGATAGGTAGGTTCCATACCCATGGACTCAACCAACCATGGATCAAAAATATATTTGCTTCTTTTTATACTTCTGTAACTAAGTTAATCCTTTCTCCCTTTTCTACATATTAAATGGTGTAAGCCGATGGTGGTTCATCTGTACTGAACATATGCATATTTTTTAATCTTGTCATTATTTCATTAACAATACAGTGTAGCAACTATTTATAAAGCATTTATATTGCATTAGGTATTACAAATTATGTAGAGATGATTTAAAATATATGGGAGGATGCACATAGGTTATATGCAAATGCTGAATCATTTTATATAAAGGACTTGAGCATTCTCAGATTTGGGGAACACTAGGGGGTCCTGGAACCAATCCCCTGAAGATACTAGGCAATGATTATATCTGTGCCCTGGAACATGCTCCATATTCTTTTCAAAACTGAGGGACTAGATAGAGAGTTGTTTCTTAGTTTTTCATTTCAACCTTGTTTTTTATTTTCTCTGAATATAATAAAAAGATAACACTGACATTTTCCAAAGAAAAACAAAGAGAACTTGCACGCAGCATTTTTTCTCCTGTCCCCCAATTTCGACAACAACAAAGATGTTGATGGCAATGATAACAAAAGAAGGCATTAAACCCCCTAAATTCTGAAATACAAATATTGGCAGTTTTCAGTGTTTTTTTCTTTTTCCTCTGCATCTCAAGCTTAATGAGGGTGAACAGTAGTGAGTTCATGAGCTTCTCCAAGTGAGCCTAAAGGGCCGAGTTTCTCCCTGATGAGCCGTTCTCCGAAGCTCTGGTGTTTACCAAATGTGTCAGATGGATAATGTTCATTAATGAACCTGAATATCTTGAAGCAGAACTATTCCTCCAAATATTATGATGCTTTAATGACACTTGTAATAAGACCGCCAAGGACTACCAGCCGCTAACAAACACATTTCCAAATGTAACATTAGTAAATGTTTGAATGCAGCAAAACCTTACAATTGGTATATGAAAGTCTGCTTACTTTGCCTCCTGGGGACCTCAGAAATGAATAAGTGATGAGCAAGACTGGCCTGCATGCAGCATTGAAGAAATGGGGCAGCAATGGCATTTCTGGCAATTTGCATATGTAGAAAAGGGAGAGAAAAAATAAACTTAGTTTTGGAAGTATAAAAAGCAGCAGAGACAATAAAAAAGGATAAAAAATTGCATCAAATTATATTCTTTTATGAGAAAGAAAATGAATTCCTGTCTAAGCCTCCTAAGAATCATCATGAAAATGTTATTGAAGTGTCATTGTCCAGTGCAGTTTCCATTGACCTCCTTACACCAAAGCATTGCCCTGGGACTGCCTGTCTGCTTGTGACATTGCTTTCTTCTTTCCAACCAGCTCCACAGTTTTGTTAGGTGCTGAGTCTTCGAGTCAGTCCTTTCCTAACTTCATGGACAGAAAGAAAGTGCATTCAACTTTTCAATGCATCTCTGTGGAATTCCATTGGCAGCTTTCATATTCTTGAGCCTGTGTTTTCAGACATCAGTTGAATATGGTATTTTCTTTTATTATTAAGTAACTGACATGATATTACATGGAATCCATGCCCGTCCTTTTTATTCTACAGGAATTTTTATAGTCAAAATACTAAAATATAATAAATCTGATTCATGCTTCCCCATAGAAAGAGTAGTGAAATGTTTTCTGAAGAATAGGAAGCACACAACTATTAATAAGGTATAAGATGCATTTCATAGTCTTCTTACTATTTTATTTATCCTTCATAAAATAAAATTTGTTGTAACTACCATTCATTCATTCAATAAATATTTAGAAAGTGCTTATTCAACATTTAGTGATGGGTGATATATAAATATTTATAGTTAGTATTTATTATAGACTACAAAAAACATAAAATAACTATTGTGTACTCTAAAATTTAACTTTTTTAGAAAATCAAGTTACTAGGCTTTCACATATAATTTTACATGGAATGTTTTCTAAAATGAGACAAAATGTGTCTCTTCTAAATGAAATACTTTCATGTATTCTTTCTTTGTTCTTTCCCTCCCTCTATCTCTTTCTTTTTTCTTTCTCTGTAACAATATTCTCTTACATGCAGATACCAGAAAATAATTATTAAAATTTTTCTCTGTTCTCCTCATGTTGTATGGGTTTGAGTTTTAATTTTTACTCCTATTTATATCTAGGTAGCTCCTGATTGAGACCTACTCCTCCAACAATGAATACTTACAGAACACGATAGACCCGGACCGACCTGCACTTGTCACTCACTGTCCGACTCCCATCAAAGTGTGTGCTGATCCAGGCAGCCCCTCTGAGTCTCCCACATGCTATCACTAAGGACTATCATTACATACCTGAAGTTTATGAAAACAAAGATTAACTATCTAAATAATTTATTATATTTCTCACTCATCTCTAATGTTCAAGACAGCTAAAATGAACTAATTAACTTTTTTAACTTTACTAAATAAAAATAAGCTTATATTATGCCCATAATCATTTGGCAGTATTTACATTCAATAAAAATTTTTATACTTAGCAAGGGATAATATCTAAGGTTATGTTTTACAAGTAGATTTGCAAATAGATTTAAAGACAAAATTGTTTATGGCTTTACATTTTGTCCTTCCTTGTTATCCCTGCTTCTAAACATAATACATCTAAATGTAATACCATCAAACTAATTAGATTCCATTTTTTTAGCTCTCAGAGAAATGAGTTAAGATATGATATTTAACATCTAACAAAATATTATTTCCAAAGTTATTTTAAATTAACAGACATATGTCTAATGTAATATGTCTCTAATTTTATTCATTTTATTATAACAATCCAATTTCAAATTCAGATATGCTTTTTATGGAGTATTAAGACATGGGTCCTAAAATCCATTATCAAAGATTGTAACTTCTATTCATAAATTTTATTTTCAGTAATGTGGCAAGACATTGACATTGACATACTTTCATGTCTCACAACAATATTTCCTGGGGCATATTCCTTTTTGACTCTTCAGTCTTTCCATCACCATTAGAACCTTCCTTGTTTATCCTGATGCTTCTTAACACCCTGCACTCCCAAGTTCTCAGTGTCATCTCTTCCCGTGATCATTATCTTGGCTCGGCTACCAACTGGCAATACCCTATCTCACAACTACATCAATTAAAATGACATATTTTCCAATATCCTACCTTGAAATTACTCTTCCATAGACTTTCTTTTTTATATTCTCCTATTTACCACTGAACTTTTGGCTTAGAAGGCATTTGACATTTGGCTTAGAAGGCATTCAATTTTTTTTTCACCTTAATTTCATGTCCAATCCTCTTTGGTCTGAACCCCTCTCAGTCATATTAGTTTCTTATAAACAGTTAAGACCAACTCACTCTTACTCTTCTGCCATTCACAGCAGGGCAATCCAACAGTGTACATTCCCACTCTTTACTTCCTTTTGGTCCCCAGTATTCACTTCCCAAGAACATCTAATATAATATGTATTTACTTCATTTGTACTATTATAACAGCCTAATTTCAAATCCAGATCTACTCTTTATGGAGTTTCTCTTGTATTCCCACTTTTAAAGAACTCTTAGATTCCTACTTCAGAAATTCCTATTCAGAGGATGATAAAGGTTGATCCTAGAGTTTTCTAATTTGAAAATAAAAGCACCATCCAGCTCTTCACCAAAATTCATTTTCTGCTCTTTTCAGGCAAGGATCTAATTCCTACTTTCTTTTACATTTGGGTACACCCTTGCTATTGTGTTCTAACAAATGGAATATGAGTGAAAGCAATATGTGCTACTTCTGTCCCAAGTTTTTTAAGTGTCAGGTGAAGGGGGAAGAATATGCTACCCCAAAATATGCCACTTTGGCATGAGGAGCTAAAGAAAATCAAGATGTCACAGGCTAAGGAAAGGTTTTTACCTTCTCCTTAATGGACTAAAAATTTTAGAAAGGAGGCCTGCTTGTCCCTGGAATAGAGCTATTACCAGAAGAACTTCTTCGTGTGCAAGACCTATCTGCATGGCAGGGAAAACGTTTGTTTGTCAAACATTTGCTCTGCTCACTTTCCTGTGAATTGTCTACCTCTCCTTTGAAGCCCTGGCCCCTAGCCTTTCCCTTCACTCAGGGCAGTACAGACACCTTAATTGCCTGACTGCCTTCAAGTCTCATATTTTTATGGGGCTCTCATATATATGAAGTTAAATTTGTTTTTCTCCCATTAATTTATTTTATAATACTTTAATTATTAGACTAGTCAAAAACCTAGGCAGATAAAGGCAAAATTATCTTATCTTCCTTACACAGGTATATCCACTGAAGACAGATGCAAATGACAATGAGACCTCAGGAATGGTGGGTCCACCAGACAGAAAGACACTGCATTGTTGAATTCCCACATGGAGGAAAGTCATTTGATTTGAACTTTCACATGCATGAGAAACTATCTACTGTTATGTTTGTACCATTATAACAATTTTCTGCCTATTTTCTGACTATTAGCAAGACCCTAAGTAATCTCATTTATTAATAACATATCAAAGAAAAGTGTCTCAAACATTTTTATATTTTTATTTTGTACTTTAGTCTTTTTGTGTACTTGTAAGTTTTTCTTCTACTACATTTTAAGTTTCTTGGTAAAAAATAGCTTCTTGGACTGGTTCTATTTCATTTATAATAAATGATGGTACATCTATCTGTAGTATTTGACTTAAAATATTACTATGTTCTATAAAAATTATATAAACTGGCACATAACCACCTTCATCTTAAACATTCCATAAAAATGGGTAATACATTATTTTGGCCTAAAGCGTTATCCATGAAAAGCATCAGATCCAAGAACTATGCACCTGGAAAGTGCTTTATTGTGTCATTTACTCTTTACCACCTATTCCAATTACCATGGTTTTAATAGTTACCTACCATTCTTAAAAATCATTAGGAAAAATCTGATACGTGCATTGTCTAGGTTTCTTACTGTCTATAGCACCAATCCAATTAGACATGATGAAAAACTCCCATTGGCTATTTGACTTTACGAAAATCCTGCAGCAAGACACCTGGGTTTTTGGCTCATATATAATCTTGCACTCTATGTTTTGGTAAATGAACTCACTTGGGCTATATATCATTAAGGATTTTGTTTATGAGGGATCCAGAAAGAAATAGCCAACATAAAGCAGCCGTGGCAGATAATGAAACAAGTCATGGAGCGTATGACAACAAACGTTTGAAACCAGCTTATGAATGATCTGCTGTCTGTGAACCGTCTCATCTAATATTTGTAAGCACATAACTGGCAAAGCATTCTGTATTTTCAGAACCTTTATTGATTTATGTAGCCATAACAAATAGGACCCATGGCAGACATTTTGCTAAAATGGTGTCGATATCATAAGGGAATAAAAAGTATCTCTTGTTTGGTCTGATTTGGGGCACAATCCCCTTAGTGTGTGAAGCATTAAGGGGAGGCTTGTCTTTAAAACAAGCCTCTTATTGACCACACTGGAAATATGAGGAAGACTACTTCTGGTAACAAAATCATTCTGGAAAAATTTGAGATTTAACAGCCCATTAACCTGCTATTAAAGAGCACTGATGGGAATTTCTTAGAGAAATGAAGTTGCATTGTGTAAGAAGTTAGCAATGACACCACAAGAGGGACTTGGTGATGGGAGGGGGAGAGAAGGTAAGATTCTTATCAAAAGCCTTTCTATTAAAGAAATGAAATTGGAGCTACACGAAGCTGAAGGCACAGATTATGGGTAATGGTGCAGAACCAAGTTACATCAGCATTGAGTTTTAGGCAGTTCCCATTTCATTTTACCTGTATTCGCAGAAAGTTGAGCCCGTGTCAACTTCCACTTAGAATGCAGTTGATCACAGTGCTAAGGAAAGTCAAATTGACAGTTAAGAGGAAGCAAAAGGTTCAGGGTCATGTCTCAGCTGGGTTTTAATTTATTCTCATTAGACACACTAATACAGCAGAACATACAGTGGTGGTACTTTCCTTCCTTTCTTTTTTTTTTTTTAAGACCACGGATCATGAATATTAATGCAGTTCTGTTCAGGTTGCCACAGAGTTTAGAGAGTTTACGGGTGGAGGTGGGCTGCCACATTATCATGTTATTGGATTTGTTTAAAAAAGGTTCTTGACACCATTCTCCAAATGCAGCCGGGTGAGCAGCCCTGCTCTCTTTGTGTTACATAATGTTCCATCTGTGCTCACGGAGTGTGGCTTGATGAGGATGCCATCAGGTGATGTTTGTGACTTAATGGTATTCTTTCAGAGCTGGAGCAATAAACATTAAGGGGCTTTAATTGTATTCTTTGCAATGGGAGCAATAAACATTAGGGGCCCTATTGTGCCCTTTCCCAAAACGTCCCCCAAGCCCAATTTGGGGAGTGTCTTGATAGCCAGTTCTAATTTCAAATCCTCCCTCCCATTCCCTGTGTTTTGAAATTGGGGACTGGGCAAAAACAAAGAAATTAAATTAATAGGCATGATCTCCACATACAGTTTCTAGAGAGATGGAGCAGTTTCTATTTACCTGACCCATCAGAGAGAGCCCTAACAGAGCAAAATAGGATGAGTCCTGAGATCTGATTTGTTTTTCTATGGTGCCAACTTTTAATAATCTGCAGGTACCAGCCACAGAGCTTCAGGGGTAAATTATTATGTGGTACATAGAAAAGATCCATGGGGCAAAGGATTAAATTGCCTTAAAGATTAAGGAGATTGTGGGAATTTAAAATGAATCAAGCATGAAATGATAATTCATGATAATCCCTGACTCTGAGTTTCATCTACATATATTTGCTAATGGTTTTTTTAATCTCCTCTGATGACACTGAACACTGCAATAACACATTTCCCATGAAATTAGAGAAGTCCACTTTATCATTTGTAACATCAGATGGTCAATGTGCTAGCAAGGAAAAAAGACAGTTTTAAAATTATTATTTTTAGATCTGCACCTGACATATTCACATTAGTGACTCATTAGAGTCTAGTGGTTTTGCCGGACTCAATGGTATACTTGTTTTACTCACCTTATTCTTCTAGTTTTTGCTCTCCTCTTTTTGCCACAACCCTGTGTGACTCAGGTATAGTTAGATCAATGAACTGATGAGTGGTAGATACAGTTCCCACTGATAATCCCATCATTTCTTCTATTGTATATTTTATCATAATTCCTCATAGATAAGATATTTGGCTAAGGTAAACTGAGCATGGAAAATTCACAGAAGAGTCAGCATCAGGTCAGATGTTATGTACTGGGCAGAAGTTTGTGGTTTGGGGCTCTTGGTGAGCAAAATTAAATTGACATAAATGTGATCAGATGCTATATTCTGAAGAGTTTATATAATCTTAGTACTGGGCTAGTTTAAATACTACACTTTACTCCAGGATGGAAAGTTTAGCTTTCTTTTTATTTAAACAGAGTTAAAACGTTCTACCAAAATAGGGAATGTGCATGTGAGTTGATATGAGCAAAGGAAGCAGAAATAAATTCTTGTTGGTTGTTTTTTTTAACATTGTGATTTTACACACAAAGACATTTAACTTCAAAATGCTTTGACTTGGCCACAGCTGTAATTGTGTATAATATCCAATATCTTTTAATTGGAATTATTTTTTATATTTGGCTACATTTATTTGAGGATCCCTTCAGAAAACCCACCAGAAACTCAAATTCCAATTTGTTCTCTCAGCTTGACTAATGATAAAAATTATCAAATCGACTATTATGTGTTTATAAATCTCCTCTTTTATCCCAATGTGGTTCTTGGATTTTGTGCTGTTGAGTATCATTTCTCTGTGAAATGTAAATGCAAAAATAACAACAAATTCAGCATAAACAATAGCACAAAGTAAAAAGGAACAAAATGTCTTTAAAGGAAGCATCACAAAAGTGAAGTATAAAAAGAGAACAACATAAAATATTGATGATAAAAGATGTTTCTCACATACTTAGAAAAAACTGAGTCAGAAATAGTCCCCATTCTCTTATCACCTAACAGTTCCACTTGAAAAAGCATGGAGCTGCTGGCACAAAAGCAAATATACCTTAATTGGTCCCTCTTTCATCCACCTGCTAGAGTTTCTTTTTAGTCACATTGAATTTGTCTAACAACATTTGTTTACATTCCCTTGCTAGCACATTAGCATGATCTCATTTTATAAAATGAGAAATATGGCCAGTTTTAAGTGTTGAAGATACAGTGGCCAAGAAACTTAAGGTCAGCTTGTGGAACACAGCAGTAAACATACACTTCTCACTGTGAAGTATTACCCTTAGATCATAATGGGCTCCCAAACATCCTCAATTAATTAAATCATTCATCCAACACTTATTTATTAAACACCCGCTGTGTGCCAGGCAATTTGCTAGGAATTCAGGATGAAAAGTGCATAGGGCATAGCTCCAGCTGGATTTCCCTCCAGCCTTTGTCTGTGTTAGATCTTCATCAGCACCTCCCCTGACCACCCGGTGCACGGGTCTTGCCACCACAGCTCCTCGTCTTCTGGCTGAGCTCTGGATTTACATAAATATGGACAGGCGGCGACCTCCATGGACCATGAGCACCATGTTTCCCACAGCCTTTGAGGCTAAATATTGCACACTTCATGTCTCGCTGACCTTTATTGGGCTACTGCACTGTTTCCAATATCCCCTTTATTGTCAACGAGACATGATACCTGTTGCCGCCAGCAACCAGCCTGAGACTCTGGACCTCACAGGGCGTACTTGGATGGGACTGCAAGGCTTGAAGAAATAGAATTTTGCCTATTGTAACAGCAGAAGTAGCTTCCTTTGCTGTCACGAGATGGACTCACAAGTCCAGGACTGGGGTCTTTCGTTTAGGCTCCATATGCCCCTAGGCTGCCACTTCCCATGAGTTCAGACACAATGAAACTAAGCTCCACTACCCCTGGCCTCATTTTTTGGATCCTGCATCTCTTATCCCCAGCACTGCATGACACAGTACAGTTTATCTCCCAAGCACAACAAGGTAAGTGATATCTCCTCACTCATCTTGTATATTGACCCTAATGGTCCTTTCTTTAAAATGTGTGATACTTGGCATAGCTTATCTTTCACTATTACACTCATGAATTTCTGTTCTCTCTCCTATCCCTGGTTTACAATGCTCAACCACCTGGTTTCCCCCCCAAAATCATAACTCATGTTCTTTCTTATTTACATTATGACTGAGTACATAGACCTTAGTGCCAACCCAGAAGTTTCATCTGGTGATGCTATCTCATAACAGGGTCCACTCTGATGGGCTGCAAGACTGTCCTGTGAACTTACCTCTCTGATGATGAGGCTCTGCCTGCTCTCCCTTGCTACTGAGTGTGGCCTGGACAGGGGCATATCTGTGTGATCTTCCAAACTCCTTGTATTTCATTATCTCACCTTGACATCCTGGTGCTAGTCATGGACTCAAGTTTGCCAGGTTTCAAACACAGTCCAGAGATTTCTCTCTCTGATCTGATCATTGTGATTTTTAGGTCAGCTCTACCTCC